ATCAAAAACAGAGTAACGATACCTTAGGGTGTGTTTACGCCTCTCTTGGTACTCTTGAATATGCCGGCTATCCTGTTGAACCATTTGAAAAAAAGAATCCATCAGGCGGGATTTCATCTTTATATAATGCTCCATTAGCTATTGCTATGTCTTTTGTAATAATCAGTTATGTGTTATCAAAATCTGGCATTGTACAAGCTTTACTCAAAGTTACTATCCCTAATAAACCTGATAGAACTGATAAGGTATGCATTTGCAGTTTTCTTATTCGATATTAAACTTTTTAATTTACATAATTTTATTAAATTATTTATTATTTATGTTTTGTATGAAAAGCCTTTACCGGATATTCATGACCATGGTTCATCTACAAATGAAACTGGTCATGATCATGGAGCGTCTACAAGTAAATCTGATCATGACTATATTGTAACTACAGATAGTACCGAAAAATCGTGTGGATGTGTTCCTAAAATTTTTGATGTATCATCAGCTCCTTCTGTATATGATATATTTCGCGCTGCTCAGTTTTTTATAACAACTGCTCTAATATCTATACCAAATCTTTCAGAATACTATCAAGATTTAGCTTCAAAACTTAGTTGGTTATGCGGTTTACCAAATAGTTTTAATTTATCATATCTTGGCAGCGTTGCAGATAATGGCATACGGATTGGAATATGCCAGATGACAAAAACCTGTAAAACAATTACTGGTGTCACATACTTTAATATTGATTTTTGTGATCAGGATTCTACTACTGGATTTTACAATTTCGCAAGAATGTTATCTGTCCAACCTTATGATTTATTTTTCTTAGCATTCATAGCTTTTCTTTCTGCATTGGCTCTTGCAATTGGTATTGCATTACTTATCTGGTTATTTGCTCGGTATAGTGTCTGCTTACACAATAAATGGAAATCCTTAAAAACAGTTGCAGCTAATTGTCTTTGTTTAGTACTTGGTAAGTTATGCATTTGTATAGCGTAACTTTTTTAAATTATATTTATCCTAATTTTCTAATACTTGTAATTTTCAGGTGGAATGTTTCGAGTGGTAATTATTAAATAACTTTATGTAATAATCTAATATCTGTAATATTTACTGTACATGGTATAATTAACTGTATTTATTATTATTATTTTTTTTTAGTTACTCCTATTTTATTATCCTATAACACTCTTTGCTTGTTATCAATTATATCATTACAATGACTGCGTACTACTCCTTATACTTGCTGGATTTTGTATAGTAGTATTTTCTCTTGGAATAATTACTTTTTGTGGTGTTAAAGTCATTTCAGATTTAAAGAAAAATGATCTTGAAATATTTAAAAAACCCGATCATACATTTATTTATGGTGCACTATATACTCAATATAAAGAAAATAATATTATAAAAGACTCTCGTATCTGGTTTTTTGTAGTTATGATATCATATGATTTTTCTCGAGGTGTTATAACTGGGTTGGCCCAAAATTACA